CACTATGCTTTAAACTATCTATTTGTCTTGATGATTGGCCACCATTATGATATTTAAACAAGTAATTTGATGCAATTTTGGCGAAGGGCTGTCCCTGGAATTGGCGCTGGCTTCTTGTGGTTAATATGTGTAACTTCTTAGGATGGACGACACATCTTAAGGGTTGTATGGTTTTTCAAAAGGTTTTCACAAAACTTAATGAGTCTTGCATGTTCACATTCGATCTGGACGCTACGGACGGGTTGCATGTTAGATATACGTTCTATGTAGGAGGTTCCAAGTAGGGCATACTTTAGGAAAACCTAACCTTCAAAATATGCATGTCTAATTCATAAGTAATTGGAAGAATTATGTAGAATTGTTAAGGTGACGGCGGAACCCTAGTGCTCAAATTTATTTTCAAAACTATTTTCTTTTGTTTTCTTTACTTTCTCAATTTATTTAATTGTTTTTAATTAAATTCGTTTTTAATATTTTAGGTCATAAAATCAGCATCTTCCAAACTTTGTTTTCAAATAGTTAATTAAGATTTGGTATTTACATAAATTATTCATTCAATCCCTGCAGAGAACGACCTTACTTGAGCCGCTATACTACGACAACCTTGTACTCTTACAAGTATTTTTATCCTTACTTTTGCAAGTGGTAAAATCCCTATCAGGAGCATACCACGACAATTCGTGGCGTTCTACGAGAACGTTAGCATGCTTATCTCCCCCTAACGACGAGAAGATTGTCTCATCAAAGTGACAATCTGCAAAACATGCGGTAAAGAGATCTCTTGTCAAGGGTTCTAAGTAGCGAACAATTGATGGCGAATCATAACCGACATAGATTCCTATTTTTCTCTAAGGACTCATTTTCGTACATAGCGGCAGCACTACTGGCACATAAATGGCGCACCCAAACACCCGTAAATGCGAGACTTCAGGCTCGTATCCAGTGACCAACTGTAACGGTGAATGTGGTTAAGTAACGGTGGGCCTCAGGTGGACCAACATAGCTGAGTGCAATATTGCATAGCCCTAGGCAGATACTAGCAGTTTGGTTTTCATAACCAAAGTCCGACCTATCAATTGAAGACGCTTTATGAAAGCTTTTGCCAGGCCATTTTGGGTGTGAACATGGGGTACAGGATGTTCCACATCAATCCTTACTGACATGCAATAATCATCAAAAGTATGTGACGTAAACTCTCCAGCGTTAACCAATCGAATCGACTTAATCAAATAATTAGGGTGGTGAGCCCTTAGTTTAATGATTTGAGCTAGGAGTTTAGCAAACGCGGCGATGCGTGTGGACAATAGGCAAACATGTGACCATCGTGTCGATGCATCAACCAACACCATAAAGTATCTAAATGGTCCGCAGGTTGGTTGGATAGGTCCATAAATGTCCCCTTGAATCCTCTGAAGAAATTTAGGGGGGTCGTGAATAATCTTTGTATATGAGGGTTGAGTATTCAACTTCCCTAAAGAACATGATTTGCATGGCGAGAGTCCAACATAGGGATGTAACTTATGCCTGTGTGAAGATTTGAGGATACGGCGCATCATGTCATGTCCAGGATGTCCCAAACGGTCATGTCAAAGCAACCAAGTGTCCTAAAACTCAAGCATAGGGCCGGCCACACTGTGAGCTTCTATGCCGCGAATGGTTGTGATGTACAACCCACTCAGCAGACGTTACAACTTCTCGTGAATAAGTTTTTGGCCATATTTGTATGAAGTGATACAAAGAAATTCATAACCATTATCTTCAGTGGTTTCAATATGATATTGATTATCTCGAATATCTCTAAAACTCAGCAACGTTCTTCCGAAACATGGAGAATAGAGTGCCTCCTTAATGGTCAAGATTGTACCATTGGACAACATGATACGTACCTTTCTATATCCTTCAATCAGGTTGGATGAGCCTGAGATAGTTGTCAAATGAGATTTCTTGGGTATTAAGTTAGTAAAATAGTGTCGTTTACGCAAGATGGTGTGCATGGTTGCACTATCTGCCAGACAACTAACGTCCTTATTAGCATACCTAGAAATAAACTGATTGAATTGGTCACATGTATAAATATAATTCCATTCATTTAATTAAGAAATTTGAGAAAACAATGTCCATTCAAATAACAATCCATAATTCAAAACAAACCAAAACTAAACAAATTATTCCAAATACTTAGAAAAATTGTTCAAAATTAAACCATAAACCTAGAAAAATAGGGGGTAGGGCCAGCCACTCCTAGTGGGTTCAGCCACTAGAGGTAAACACCCTAAAAACATGTCTAATTTATTCATCCATAGGCGCTGACGCCTCCTGAAAATCCGACATCTCCATTGATGTAGTTACTTATTCCAGATGATCCACATGTACAAAGTTATACTCATGACATGAATGATATTTGGCAATAGTCTCAGGGGAAGCTCGGCATCCGAGTGACAAATGATCATTTGATCCACAGCGATAATACATGTCCAGTTCAGTAAAAGCAGGCTGAACGGGAGCTTTGCCCTTGTTCTTGAAGTTTGGGGCCTTAGGGGCCAGTGATGGACGCTGCTAGGTCATATTTCTTCCCTTAGGTGTGGCACTCTGTTGACCTTGGGCCTGTGGTAGGGCTTGCTACTCATTGCCATGGCTACGACGATTCTTTCATCGTTTATAGCTGCTAGAATTGGTTGCATGTGCTTCAGGCGCGGCGTTCGAGCCAATTAGTCGAGCTTGATGATTTTTCATCAAAAGCTGGTTCTGCTTTTCAATGAGAAATAAAACAGAGATCAAATCCAAAAACTTGGTTAATTTATATGCCCGATATTGTTATTGCAGGACAATATTGGTGGCATGGAAGGTTGAATAGGTCTTCTCCAAGAGATCTGATTCAGTTAGTTCCACTTTGCAGAATTTCAACAAAGAACGGATTCTACAAACTTCAGAGTTGTATTCATTCATGGACTTAAAGTCCTAGAAGCGAAGATGTTACCAATCGTGTCTTGCTTCAGGCAAGTATATGTCTTTCTGGTGATCGAAACGATCGGCCAGAGCAAGCAGAGGGTGCGTGGGTCCTCCTCAGCGAGATACTCATTCTGCAGTGCATCATGGATGTGTCTTCGAATGAAGATCATTGCAGTAGCCTTCGAAGCTTCATCAACAGGTTTGTCGATAGTGGCTCTAGTACCATTTGCAATTAAATGGAGCTTCACGTCTTGAACCCACTTTAGATAATTTATTCCAGAGACTTTTAGAACGGAGAAATCGAGCTTGTTCAAGTTCGACGTCCCTAAAATAGAAGGAAAAACATGATTAGTCATATGGTAAGCCATAGACATATATCGTAGAACATGCAGGTTCTATAGACATGTACTGGTTTAATTTATGTATGAAAACTACAGGTTTCATGTGGTATGTTTTGAATGAAAACTTTAGGTTTTAAAGGCACTAAATTTGAAACTACATGTTCAAATTAGTTTTATGAACAATTAGTGCATAATGAGAGGTTCTTGAAAGAAACACAGAATGCAATATACTAATTTAAATATAGTGGATTTGAGGTTCTTCGGGAACTCAAGTGTAAGAGCTTCATTACTACGAAAGTATGTCACAGTTCAAAATATAAAAATAAATTATTGAATCGTTAATGTCCAAAAGTGATCCTCAGGTCAATAATTTTGGATTCATTATCAAATTAATGGACTGCAGGTCACTTTTAATTGATTCAATAAATCGGGTCATACGGGGTCAATTGTAGAAGCTAAATAATATTAAAATAATTCTATTGGGTCAAAAATATATCCCCAAATATAATTAGGCACAGGTTGGGTGCCTTGAGTAAAAGGAAAGGCCCAAAAGGGCTTCGGGAGTGGGCTACAGGCCACAGGAACACGGGAGAAACCCCAGCCACAGCTGGGTTTCATTGTGGACCGAATGGAAGGGCACAGGCACGTCCAACGCAGTGCTGGCCTAAGGGTTTTGGGCACAGGAATGCGGAGCCTAGCCACAAAAAAAATAATAATAATACTGGCTACATGTGTGCAGGCCGCAGGGACCAAGCCCAGCCTAGTGGGCTGGCATGGAGGACACGATCGTGATGCGGGCCAAGGCAATAAATAGGCTCGGGGCTTCAAGCCCTATAGAGGTGAAGTCCAGGCCGAGGCTTGGTTTTTGCGTGCATAATGATGGTTGCGGTGGGTGTGCCGCACCATGTCCAATTCCCTTTTTTTTCTTTTTTTTTTTTCAAAATCCTCTAGGATTTAGGAAACCCTAAATATGCTTCTAATTTAATTTGATACTTTGACTCACAAATTCCACATAACAATTTAATTGTGCGATGCATGAAACAAATATACATATTGACAAATATATGAACATATACAATATATATATATATATATATATATATATATATATATATATCGTAAGGAAAATATAAACATAGAGGCATTCATGCATCATGGGGACTGTTTTCATGCTTGGTGGACGTTTCAAATATCTTCTTTTATTTTAAGCGTACCTAATTAGCAGAAAAGAAATAAGCCTTTTAATTTGGTGGATGATAGCATCCTCCTACGATGTGTTAATTCCTTAGCTTCTAGTAAGAGCTTGTTGATAACGTGTTGTATGCTTATTTGATTGAACGATCTAGGGTTTAGAGAGAGAGGGGGCCGACAATATTGAGGGAGAAGAAAGAGTGATTTAATTGTGAGGTGTGTTTGATTCACCACATTGTGCCTTTATTTATAGTAGTAGGATAGGAAAAAACCTTAAGATTACAACATTTAATAAGTAATCTACTCCTAATAGGAATATAAGATACATTCCCATATCTATTAAGATTTACACAATCACATTCCTATTCTAAATATGACTACAACATTTTTTATATTTTATAAATTTTTTATGCACGTGGCGCAAAGTTGACATCCACCTCATTAAAAACTAGCTCCCATATCCACCACGTCATCACTTAATAGTCAATCTAACAGATTTATGTAACGGATTGTGTGAAATTGCAACTAAATCATATTTGGTGTATGAAATTGTAATGTTTTAAAGATGATGTATGAGGTTGTAATTGCACTCATACTTGAGGGTACAAAATGAAATTTACCCAAAAAAAAAAAGAACAACCTAATCTTCAACTCACACAGCTCGACCTCCACTGCCGCCATCACCTCGGCAGCAACCACAAAAGTAGTCACCGGAAGAAAACCAACTCTGCATTGAATTCGAAGAAAGGATCACAAAACAAAACAAATCAATCTGTAACAAGGAAAAAGCCCCAAAAATTTTTTACCACCAAAGCTGTAACATCGAAAAAGAGCCAACGGATTTGAACCACAAACACGAGCACCTACAAGTAAAACCAAAAACCAAAACAAAAATCAAGGGGGTAGGGCTAAGGGGGCATCTAAAACACCTTCACTTTAGGCAAAGCCGCAACATGCTTGGCCCTGATTTTCCGGCATGCAGGTCGAGTGTAGTGCCATGATTAGAGGGCTTAGATCTGTAGACTAAACCAGGTGTGTCGCTCTTGGCTTGAGAAGAGGTTGTAGGAAGGACGGTGGGTAGGAAGAAGAGGCAGATGAACAAGTTGAAAGATGACAGATGTTTGAGGTTGAAGGGTTTTAGGATAAGGATTGGCTTTGCCAAGACACAAAAAAACAATGATAAAAGGGTGATGGCGAGGACTGCCACGAAGACTTCAAATAAAGCACAAAAAATATAGGGTGATTTCTCAAATCGACAACCAAAGGCATCGAAAAAGCAATACACCAACATAACTAAAGAGATGAGAGGGAGGATAGGGAAAGCAATTTAAAGAGGGGGTTGTCGCCAACCCCAGCCTATGAAAGGAGTCGATGGCATAATAATAATAATTAATTATTATTATTATTATTATAGGGAAATGTTATTAATAGGATTAAAAGCACACCACAAAGTAGCACACAAATGTCCTATTAATTTTTCCTATTAACATTAAGATTTGTCAATTGTAGCATATGAAAATAAGGGTATTTCCTGCAGAAGATTGTTTTATCTAACTACTTAAAATGTCACAAAAACTGGGTTGATGTCCCTACTGACCAGCCACCAAAAAATAATTATTAGACCAACTTACACTTATCTAAAGTCTACGAAATTTTATATGAAGAAAATAGACACAAAGAGCTATGCTCATACAAATTTTTGGGATTTTTGGAGTTGATTTGCTATTTAAATTAAATCGAACAAAAACCAAACAGAAACGGATTTTAAGTAGTTCACAAATTAAGAAAAACGAGTTAGGGGAATTGCTATCCACCAACAAATAATCATACAAACATGTTATGTTTCATTCAAATTCCTTTTATTTCTAAATGAAGATGCTCAAGTTGGCTCAATGTTAGAACTCAACCTATTGCTCTTTCTTATGTAGTATGTTAAGAGAATGGCGTTTTCAACTTAACTTAATCCCTAGCATGCAATCTAGAATGGCGTGTTCATAGATTTAACAAGTATAAATCATTAAGAACGAAAAGAGTTTGAGTCATCACAAGGCATCGTAAGTACTAGCGTTGTCTTACTTATCCTAGAAATTGATTCACATGTTAATCGCAATTAACAAGTACTACTCTAGAACATATGTAGGTCCTCATTCGACAAGGGCAAGCACACACATATTCATAGCATTAGAATCCTAGATATGCTTACTAAGTATGCATCCATAGAAAACACATAAAGAATTCATCAATCAGATAAGTAGTAAACCAATTTTCATCCATTCATAAAAGTAATTCAAACGAATTGTCATAACAAACTTGCAATCATATTTGGGGCTTCAAAACAGCCCCTAACTACTAAAAATTAGTTACACATAATCCTTAAATAAAACCAAAAGAAAGACATATGTTTGAGAAGATAAAACCGAAAGAAGAGAATGCCAAGATTTCCTCCTTTCTCTCCTTCCTTCCCCAACGCTGCTGCCTTGTCTTTTTTCCTTCCCTTCTGATGCAACCTGCAGCCTTCTTTTTTTCTTTCTTTTCTAATTTTTTTTCTTCCTTTTTCTTCCACCTTTGCCGTTGCAACCTGCAGCCTTTTTGTTCTTGCTTGCTGCCCCAATTTCTTCTCCATAACTCACCCGACTAACAGCCATTTAGTGATGACAATAAGTGAGAGGAAATGATAAAACAATTGTAACTCTGTAGGTAGCCTTTATCCTCGTTACTCCCACTTAATTTTCCATTTCCTCTGATATTTGAATAGATGTCAGCTGGCTTGTTCTTGGCTGCATCAATTTTGGCTGCTGGATTTATTGGATTTATTGCTTTCAATGTTTTCTTGTCAGTTACAAACTGCTCAGCCTCTTTGGAACCTTTCAGTGTTAAAACGGCCATAACTTCTTCTAGAAATATGATATTAGCAATCCGTGAAATGCTCCAAAAATAGACATCCATAGCTTTCGAAGCAAATAAGGCTCATTCTCTAGTTCATTCTAAGTTGTCCGCAACTTGCTTCCAAAGTCAGCTGATCTGCCCAGGCAGTTTTGACAAATTTGTTACTTAAAATTCCACTTGTGCTATTTGTCTTTTCTTTGCTTGACAAATCCCACAAAACACAAAAACAAAGTAAATAGCTCAAAAATATAAGGAACTAACTAAGAAAAGACAAGTTAATTTGATGTAAAATACATACATACATACATATATATATATATTAGCTTATCAGTTATTGGCACTCTAAAAATCACATTCTACACTTCTCATAAGTGTATTTTTCTTTCTAAATATAGAAAGTTTGGAGTGTAGAATGAGATTTTTGGAGTGCCAATAACAATTCCCTTATTATAATAATAATTATTATTATAATTATAATAATAATAAAAAGAAAAGAAAAGAAAAAGAAAGAAAAAAGCCATGGGTGTTGCGAGATTCGACCTTTATTTATGCGCTACATAAACATTTCGGTGGTTTTGGGCTGAACACTCCTTCGCTGGTACTGCCAACTCCCAAAGAACATTAGGTGGTTTTCAACAAAACACCTATAGGGTTTGTTCTCTAATTTTGGGTTCGAGACACAAAGTTGGCAAAACACGGATGATGATGTGTGTCAATTAATTGTGGTTAAGAGTGCACTAAAAATGTCACTAGCTTTTCCGGACCCCACCCTTCGTGGTGTGGGATACCTCAGGCTACGGCAGAAAAAACAAAAAAACAAAACAAATAATAAAAAATAAAAAATAAAACCAGAACACCTATAGAAGATTTCGGTCCTCTGTGCCGAAAATACCACAATCATTCATTCATCCTCACCAGTTACATCTTTTCTCTCTCTTCAAATTTAGTCCTTCCTTGTGACCTCTCTCCTTCCTCTCTTTAACTCGAAGGCGTGCGACGTTTCCAGCCAACAGATTTGAGGTCGCCGGAGCAAAGAAAGGATTACGAACAGAGGATGGTGCCTCATGGCTAGAGAATGTCAGTTTTGATTTAAATTTTTTTAAAGAGAATGCTTCAGGGGTTATATTGGCCATATAAATATATATTCAGGAGTAAATTCAGGATTTTGTGGATTAACTTTGATTGATAATGTAGCGAGGCTAAAACAAGTGGAAGAGTGAGTTTTTTTTTTTTTTCTTCTTTTAGAATTGATAAATAAGAGCATGAAGGTTTTCTCATTGAAAATCAAAGACTTAGAGGTAATTTCATTACTCGGTGTAACCATGCAGTAATTAGCTAAAAAGAACTATAACATTCATTTCTGTTTTGCATGTGCATTTTCCCCTTCTACATTTTCTCATTATTTACGTGTCTTGACTCTCACTTGATTTGTTCAATCCAATAATCAAAATGAAAGAGAAATTCGTGTGTGAAAATTACTTCCCTCGATTATAAATCAAATCAGGTCTGTCAAAAGTGCGAGGGGATGAGATGAAATTGCCCCTTGTTTGTTGCAAAACCATTAATTTATTATCAATCTATCCCGTAGCATAGCAAAGGATAGATTTTCTGTACTGTAATCAATTACACAGCCAGACAGCCGATGCAAACAAAATCAATATTATCATGTGGATACACATTCTAATACAACACTAAATCATTATTGCCAGCATAACAGAACGCTCTTGAGAAAGTGAACAAATATTGTAAAGGTAACATCCCACTGCAACTTATATATAACAAACAACTACTTTTGAGTTTACCTAAGATCCAATTGTCTGCACCACAACAGATGAGTGTTATCTCGCATTTACAAGTCAAGACTCTTGGGGCAACTCAAATCTCGTCGGAGTGTCAATCCCCATCATACAGCAAATGCCCGATATTAAGATTATAAGCAAAACGATTCCCTGAATCATCGCAAGAAGAAACATCATCAATACCGCATCAGTCATATTATTTGCATCTGTAATGCATACTTGTTATTTTATCAAATCCACACAATTAATGTCTGAAGAGGCATGTATGAATATATTTGTGTCAATGGACCAAAGAGAAAAAGGAAAAGGAAAAAGTTGTGGAAAGGGCATTTGTACATCCCGACAACGAGTAACAGTTACATGAATGTCCATATGAATGAAGTGGGCAATTACACTTTTTAGCAGTAAAAAATGTAGAGGTGGGTATTAATTTAAGTTATTTTTGTCTGAGAACTCTCTGAGTATGATTTGGACCGTAGAAAGATAGTAAAATGTAGAGACTACAAACTCTTAAAAAAAAGAAGAGACTACACACTTAAAAAAAAAATGTAGAATCTACAAATACCTCAACAAAAAATAGCAAAACAAAAGATGTGGAAAAGGATACTTACAACTAGAAGTCCCTCTAGAAGAGATGATTTTATCTGACAAACTTCATCACAGGCCGTCGAATTGGCTGATGCATTTCCTGATCCACTTTCAGCAAGAAACCTTTCTAATTCTCGATGAGAAGGATATTGGATCGACTTACTGGGATCTGAAACATATAGAACTCCATACTTTGCCCCAGATTGATCCATGGAATTAACAAGGTCAGAAAAAACTTTACCTGCAAAAATCCAATTGAAATATTTGCATGACCATCCATGTCCTGGACCAGTGTGACTTGTGTATACAAATGTTTTAAAAGGCGAAGGTGAAGCCAAAGCGTTTCGTGGACAGCCTCACCTAGGCAAAAGCCTCGAGGCGTTAGCCTCATGGGACCTCAAATTATTAATATATAGTCCAGTTGGAGGGTATGTCATATAGTTGAACTTGAACCTGGAGGGTATGTCATATAGTCTAGTTGAACTTGAACTTGGGCAATTCCTTTTAGGCTTTTTCACCAAAATGGTTCCTGAGATTTACATAACTCCTCACTTTGGTCCCTGAGATTTGAAATCCATAGAATTGGTCCCTGAGTTCATCCACAATCAATCATTTTGGTCCTTCCATGAAAAATCTCCATATAATAAGAATAAAATGACAAAAACACCCTCAAACTTTTTCAAATCATTTTAGCTTGTTTATTAAATTGAGGGTAATTTTGTCATTTTGATCCTTGTTTAACATAATTTTCACCGAATGACCAAAAATGATTGATGGTGGACAATCTCAAGGACCGCTTCTATTGATTTCAAATCTCACGGACCGAAATGTGCAGTTATACAATTCTCAAGAACCATTTTGGTTAGAAAGCCTTCCTTTTATTAAAAAACAGGCCTAGTCAAACGCCTAAAGTGCACCTCGACCACCTCTAGCCGAGTTTAAGCCTATTCCTGCTGGGCAGAGGCATTTTAAACACTGCCCCGCCTCCAAATCCGCCTAGATGCACCTCAAGGCTCTTTTTTCAAAACATGTAACACAACCAAAAAACTTATGATTCAAAAATATCATA